TTCCCCACCACCGGCGGCTGTGATCTCGCAGTCGCGAGGACTGGCTGAGAGCTCAAGCCGCTGCGATGGGGGCAGAAAGGAGGCAGCCCCTGTCTGCGGTCTGCACGCCCTTCATACCAGGGCCTGGGGTAGGGACGTGACACCCGGCAGGCTGGGAGAGGGGAGAGGGCTCGCGGAGACTGGCTGAAGGCGCCCGGACGGTGCAGCCCCCCCCCCCTCCGGGGACAGTGACAGAAGGGGAGGAGTGCGCGTCCTCCGTGCGCGGCCCTGTCCGCAGCTAAGGGGACACCTGGTTGTGCCAAGCTGCCGCCGCCTCCCGGTCTCCGGTAGGTCCCACCCTGCGAGGCCTGAACCCGCTCCGAAGAAGCTCGGCCAGCAGGCACCCCGTGACTGCGACCCCTGCTCAGACAGCACGGTGCCCGGCACCCGGCGACACCCCTGGGCCCCACCCGCATCCTCGCCAGGAGCCTCCCTCTGCCTCCTGGGGTCTCTCTTGGGTCTCTGCACTGTCTTGGCCTCGGTGTGCGTCTGTCACCTCGCCTCGGGTCCCTCTCGCAGCGACTCTCTAGCGCTCTCCGCCCCCACCCCAACTCGTAGTGATGTCGTGTGTGTTTTTCGCTAATTCTCCGGAGTTACTCTTTTGTTGCCAATTGTTTCTATGCCCCGAGGCCACGCTGTAAATGAGATGTTACATCTGCACCGAGCTAAGTAAACACTTTATAAATGAATAAATAAGTGAATAAATAACGAAATCGTCATCTCGGGGACCGGCCCGGCTGCCCAGGCTCCGGCCGCAGGGCGGGCCCACCTCGGTGCGGTGCGGCCGTCTGTCCCCCCCACCGCCGCCACTGTCCCTCAGTCAAGTGTCCGTCCTCTGCCCCCCGTTTCCTCCCTCTCCCAGATTTTCCTCCAGGCTCCGCGGCATTTCCCTCCAGATGTCGTTTGGGATTCGTCGCTTCCACCCACTGCTTTTCAAACAAAAACGGATTGTCGAGGCGGCTCTTAACCCCGGCTCTGCCACCAAATCTTTCTTCTCGGGGATCGCGGCGCGGCTCCGGGTGGTCACCCGCCGGAGGAAGACCCGCTCACGGGTGGGCCACCGCGGTCCTGTCCCCCTTGGCGCCGCCCCATGACTGGGCTCCGGACCTGCCCGCGTCCGACCCGCGACTGACAAACTGTCACAAACTGGAACACCACGGAGCAGCCAGAGCCTCCCCCTGCCCGCCCAGGCCTCTGCCCAGGCCCCGCCGGGCGCTGGAGGAACCAGGCGGGCCTCGCGTGCAGCCGGAGCTCGACTCCGAGAGGCTGAACTTCGCAATTATCACGGATAACAGGAACAAATGCAAAAGCACTCACTGAGTAACTGATATCAATTATGAAAACCGGCTTTAGAGTCTGGAATAAATGATAGGGGAATTGGCCTGAGAGGGAACGGGAGCAGACATGTTATTATTTACGCCAGATTAAGAAAATATCCAATTTGCTGGCCATCTCCCTCCCCGTGGGAATTGGCATCAATTTTATTATTGTTCCTCCGATTTTAATATTCTCTAAATGAATTACCATTGAGCGAGGTAGTTAGTCAATAGTTTAATGCAATTAATTATCTTTAAATAGCTTTGTTATCTTTTTTCTTTTTCTTTCTTTCTTTCTTTCCTTTTCTTTTCTTTTCTTTTCTTTTTTTTTTTTTTGAGAGAGTCAACTCGAACTCCAGTAAGCAGTTGTTTACAGGAAACTGGAAAGAGTAGGTTTTTGAGGGTCTGGAGTGGGGACCGTGGTGAGGGTTGTGTGGCATGGGACAGCCCGGGATACTCTAATCCCAGCAAATCAATCGCAGGCTGAGACGCTGGAGGGAGACCCTTCAGTGGTTTGAACGGGTAGAGGGGTGCAGCTGGAACAGAGTGCAGTCTAGGCACCCCTCTCAGCAGTTTTGTTTGTTTGTTTTTAATTTAAGTGGATCAGGAAAAAAACTAAACTCACAGGTCACTGCCACTCATGTTTCTTTTCTGGACTCTTGGGGACTTTTCCCTGAATCTGCTCCTGGATGTGGCCATCAAAACTGCCAAGCGGATGGGGTCGGCCTGTGGCTCACTCGGGAGAGTGCGGAGCTGATAACACCAAGGCCACGGGTTCGGATCCCATATAGGGATGGTCGCTTTGCTCACTGGCTGAGCGTGGTGCTGACAACACCAAGTCAAGGGTTAAGATCCCCTTACCGGTCATCTTTAAAAAACAAACAAACAAACAAACAAAAAACTGCCAAGCAGGCCCTTCCTAGCTGCCCCTGGCTTCACCTTCAAGGTGAAACCTTGGAAAAGGACTTGGAAGAAAGAAGACTGTAATGGGAGGAGCCGTGAAGAATCTGATATTATTTCCAAGTTACTATATCCCAACTTCTTTCTTGTTTATGGGGGCGAGGGGAAAGCTTAATCTCTCCCACACATACCCTAAAGTATCTCCCAAACTAATAGAAATTCTACAGGCCTCCCAGCACCTGAGGAAAGTAGCTCAGGTCCAGCTCTGCAGGGTCGGGGTAGGGCAGCCAGCTAAGGTTTAAAGAAGCCTGAATGATAGCTCCAAAACTCTTGAGCTAGGGACCTGGGAGGGAAGGGGCTGGCTTTGGCAGGAGCAGCTGGAAGGTGCTTTTCTTGGTTCTCTGCTGTCTGTTCTTAGTCTACCACACTGATTAGAAGCAAAAAGGGATAGCAATCTCAGTTCAATCTAAGGGCTGAGGATTTTCCAGAAAAAACACTCTGCTTTTTCCCAGTGCCTTTCCAAGACCTGACCATGAATACTGGAAAGCAAAGTTGTCTGCTATGAGGTCTGGGGGATGGAACATTTGCTAAAAAAGAAAGGGAGGAAGGGAAGGGAAAGACAAACTTTTTTTACCCCAGCAGCTCAGAGAACTGTCCTCCATGAGATCAGGACACCAACAGGGTTGGTGGAGGCAGTGTCCTGCTGGCAGACAGATTATAGATAACAGCTGACCTTGTATATAGTCACTCACCTAGGCCAGACTTCGAGCCCAGAGTAATTAAGAATGCTAATGGTGCAAGAGCTGGCTGATGAAAGTGCTGTGCATTGTGTCTGATCCCATCCAAGACATACTTACTGAGTGTGTAGGTGTCTATGTGAGTGCAGGTAGGTGAAGGGACACCAGTGTGCGACCCAGACACTGACAAGGCTCTCTGGAATGCCACAACAATTCCTGAGAATATTCCTCTTCTTCCCACTGAGCCACCCATCAGCCCCCAAAAGAAACGCTGGAGCCTCTCACCATTCAGTGAAAATTGAATTCCCCCGAAATAGCTCTGAGGACAGGACCTGGTATTTCATAGTGTTTTAAAAGTAATATTCCGTTTGTCAGTGCCGTGAAATAGGGCACCAGGAACGCTACAAGAAATAAAAAGAGTAATTTCTCAGTGGAGAAGCTGCTTGTTTCCAATTCAGGACCCAGATCGCTGGAACCTGGATCTCGGATGCTTCAGCCAGACTGCAGTGGCTCGGTCCTCACCTTCTCACCGGCCGGGAGGCCCCGCCCCGCCCGCCTCGCACATCTGGAATTGGCATTAGGGGCGCTGCCGTCTCCGGAAGTTCTCACACTTCACGACTCATTAAACGCAGGGCTTGAATTCCTCGGGAAAGGGGATGAGGGCGCGAGTTATGCTGGGGGTGGTGGGGGGTAGGTGCCCCGATCCAGCTCCGCTGGCAGCAGCTGCCCCAGAAGGAGGGGTCAGGGACATGATTTCTGGGGAGACCCCTCCCTGGGGCTTGGGAAGTTGCCCGGTGCCCACTTCAGCTGGACAGAACTGAAAGCACCTTGGCTGGGATGGGGGTGGGGGGTGGGGAGGGTGGCCTGGAGTGACTCAGGACGGGAGGAAACGCCTTCCGATTCTGGAAAGCCTCCATGTCCGGCTGAGGGGGAGTGTGGGTCCCTAGCCAGGCTGGACAGAGCCTGGGAGGTGGGGACACCTCCTACACACACTTCAGCCTCCGAGAAAGATTTTGCTTGGGCCAAAGAAATGGAGGGGGCTAGTACCCGCCCCCGCCGCCCGGTAAGGCCCAGAGGGGCTGCGGTTCCTCCCTGCCCGCCGGCCGGTCCCTCTAGCGAGGTCCCCCGGGGCAGTGGGCCTGCCAGCCTCTCCTCCTCACACACGTTCTCATTTGATGGTTACTGATACTGCCTTAATGTCTGAAGGGGATAATACTTGGGAGCTTAAAATTACAATTGCCTCTACTTAAATTTATTTGATGGCCAGAGCGTTTTCGTTATACATCCGTATATGGGTTTTCAATATCTTAAATGTTTAAAAAGGTTTTATTCTGTACTTACACTGAGCGAAATTAAAAAGAAACAGTAAAATGTTTGAAAATGAAGTGCATTATGTTTAATAAATTTAAAATGAACAAAGACTGCTATATTGCCAGCAATATCATTCCCTGCCCAGGGGCATTAATAAAGACTGGAGGTTTGGAAAAACAATATTTTCTATTAAAATTCTGCGCTGTGTTTCAATATTAAAAGGATATGTGATGAATTTCCAGTGTTACCCAGACGGGGTCAGAGATTAATTTCATTTCTTTCTGGTCAGCATTCTGTCGATAATTAATCAAAAGCAGAGTTTCTTAATGAAACACTTTTCATAAGGTGATAATTAGCAGGAAAGAGGCGGCCCGCAGACAGTCCCCGCGAGCTGTCTAATAACCGGCAAGGCGCGGGGCTGGGTCCTGGGGGCGGCGGGCGGGGGCCGCGGGGACACTAGCTCCCCAGGGAAAGGACTGAGCGGCTGAGAGTCAGAGCCCTCGCCGGGTTGAGCCCTGAGCTCAGGCTGCTCTGCACACCGGCTCCGGGCCGATTTTATCAGGCCACAGAAGGAATCAGAAGAAGCAAGAGACAGAGGGCCGAGCCACGCCAACCTGTCCCCTGCCCAGCGCGGCCGCTGGGACGCTGTGTGGTCTTAGGCAAGTGCCTTCCCCTCTCTGGGCCTCTGTGCGCCCTCCTACCGGAGGAGCGGGTCAAAGCAGGGCCTCTGTGGCCTCAGGTGCGAAGATTCTGGCCTTTGTCCTAGCCGACTACACTCCCTGAAGAACTCTGGGGGGACCCAGCGGCACCCCTGGCTCCCGCTCATCCTGGGTTCCTCTGTGCCCGGCGGCCGGCGGCGGAGAAGCCTGGTAGCCTGCACGGAGGGAGGAGGCGATGAGGGAGAGGGGAAAGGAGGGGGTGGAAGCGTCTGCAGACAGAGGGGGATTATTAGTGCATTATAAAATTACTAAAAATAAATGGAAAACAATTAAGGGGTTCAAGAGTAAATAAAGTTAATGAAACAAAATTAGCAGCAATTAGCGACGGCTCCCGCGCGCCCGCACTCGCTCTCCGCAGCCCTGAGTGCAGTTTGGTGCTTGGGGCCTTCGAGCCGCGAACAAAGGCCTCCCGCCCGGCCCGCCAGGCGCAGCCGGTGTGGGTCCGGCCCCTGCCTTGGCCGGAGCGGGCGAGCTCGACCACCGGCCGCCCGCGCCCCCCGCATCCCGGTTGCGCCCTAATCCCGGGCGGAGCGGCAGGTGCCGGATCCACGGCAGGTCGGGCCTTGCCCGCGCTGCTTGGGAAACGCTGCAAACTTTCCGATAACGCCGAGAGGCGGGGGTTCTGTGCAGATGAGATTATCGATAGTTATTGAAAGTCCCCAAATAGGATTTACAAAGCAGGCTCCTGCGCCTTTAATAGAATTCTAGATAATCTTTTATCACAACAAGACACCCATAGAATTATTTAAACAGATTGGACGGCTGCTGCAGCAAATTTCAATTATTCTAATGCTTTAATAAATGTGGTGCGTGTGTATTAAATTCAGGCTTCTTAATCCAAATTTTACGATTTAACTGCTCTGATTTTTCATTACTGCAACACCCACACGCGGCAATGGCCCGCTCCTTTCTCGGGGAGGGCGATCCCAGCTCAGAAAAGCCAGGGGGGGGGCGCGGAGTCTTGGCAGCCGGAGCGCAGAAGGAGTCAGGGGTTGGTGAGGGGCACCAGGCGCAGAGAGATCTCGGGAAAGGCAAGACAAGTGCCATCGGGAGGAAGGGAGGACGAAGAGAGGAGGGGCCCGAGGGGCCAAGGGACCTGCAGGCCAGCCAGCCTGCCTCTGAGCACCACTCCTCCCCAGCGCAGAGCTTTTTGCCCCAGCGCGCCCCCTCCATACTCACATCGCGGCTCTGCTGGGCCTTGCGGTTCCCCCACCAAGGGGTTCCGTCTGAGCCACCTCTGGGTGGCGTTCCGGGCAGAAGGCGACAGAAGGAAGGACTGCAGTGTGCAGGTAGCCTTCGGACAGAGCGCACCAGCTCCTCGTGGCCACACTGCGGGGGGAGCCAAGGAGCCACTGGTCCCCAACAAGGCCTCCCCTGTGTGGCCCCTTCCCTCCAGTCCCTCCAGCCCTAAGTGAAGGAAACTGAGAGCCAAGCGCCCAAGAAGCACTCCTGCGCCCATCCCCACACCCACCCCGGCCGCCTGCGAGGCTGCCTCCTGCCCCCGCCTTGGAGCAGAAGGGTGGGATTCCGGGCCTGGACCTCGGCGCTGTGAGCCACACACCGCGCCTCCTCCATGCAGCAGCCTTGGAAGAGCAGAGAGGGCCCGGGATGAAGGGGCCAAACCCGCTTCCGGCCAACGAGGAAACTGAGGCCAAGAGCTGGAGCCTGGCTTTCTCTGGGCCCTCTTGGGGAGTGGGAGAGGGGGCAGAGCCAGGCGGGGACCAAATGGGGGTCTCCAAGACTTGCGCTGCATCTTAAAAGGAAAGGGAGAGAGCAGCTAAAGGAGAGGCTCCCTCCCTGGCACTGGCTCTTAGCCCAAACTCGCCATTTTTTTCACTCTGGCCCCCGCCCCCCCCCCATCCTCGGTCAGCACGGCCAGGGCTGACCCGGCTGAGCAGTGAGTTGGGCTCGGTCCAGAGGCGTCGATCTCTCATAATCTTTGTTTAATGTTGCATTTCTAAGCTCCGTATTAAGCAGCGGTATGGGCGGCTGGATATTTAGTTGTATATAATTTACACCCTGATCCTGAATCGATCCGACACCTCCGGATGGAGTCTCTCTCATTTTTCACGCTCCTTCCGAGGTGCCGAAATAATACCCTCTCATTAGGAGACTGCGAGGCCTGGCTAATTTATCCAAACTGTCAGGGGCTTGTACAACCTCGGGTTAAA